TACTCTAAGTGAGGTTCATTTCAATCGGCACCATGAACTTCTTTAGGAAGTCTAGAACCGGTCAGTGAGTCTTGTTCGGAAAAGTGCATGTCGTCGCCGTTTCAAGCAGAGCAAACACGTTCAAGTCTAGCTAAATAGATAATTTAAGTTTTCGAGAAAATGTTTGCCTTGTCTTTGCAAAAATTGAGACGTTTTGTCCCTGGCTCTATTGTGAGTAACCGTTTTCACTCAAGAGTGAGATTGCATGCGTGACAATCGGATGATCACTGAGCGGCATTAAAGATGGGATTCATAGTCTCGCGTATAGATGCCAAAAGGGGGGCAATATAATCTGCTTCTGATGTAGAAAGTACCTGTTAGGGGAGACATTTCCCGAAACGTGGGGAGTGACGGGGTGAATGTCGCCCCTTACGGCGATCGTTTTGGCTTTTGCCGGGTTTCAATCGATGTCATAAATTGTTCATCCATATTGCAAGGGAAATGCGCCAAAATACATGAATTTTGTCGAATAGGTCAAGTTCTACGACGTCTCAATCTTTACTTTAGAAAAACTGATTCTATGAAACGGCTGGTCGGGCAATAACATACTAGCTCCATGAACTGGTTGGTAGCCCTCAATGATTGGTAAACGGTAGTAACGAGGTCTTCATAGCATTTTGAGTTGTGCAGCTTTGAAGCGGTGTAGAACGTTTGTCAAATTAATTTGTCTGCTGAATTAGGTCAATTTCAAAGCGGAAAACAGACAACTATTTATGGATGCGTTATAAACACAACAGAACAAGCAATAAAGTATGCTCAATAGTTAAAATAAATATAATTGGTCTGCTGGTAAGAAAGAAGTGTACAGTCTATTCGATAGCTATGTTCCTTTGCAGGCGCACCGTCCGCAACCCGCCTAGTCGCGTCACGCGTCTCCTCTCTGCCTCTAGATCATATTTTCAAAGTGGGGATAGAGATGTAAGAAAGCGAGAGACTGCGCCTAATACAGGACCCTGGCCGACTGACTAATTTTGTTTTCGCGCTGATAATTTGCTGCATTTGCTAAATTGGATGCGGATAGAAATTGTCACTAGAAATTCTCCATGGAAGTGGCTTTAGCAGCTTGATCTTTAATCCCTTTAGAGGTTTTTTGTTTCAGAGATGAAGGAAAGTGGATCGAAGGACTCATTATCGTAAGTAAGGACTGTGACTCAATATTAAAAGCATAAACGACTTTTAGAGGTGGGGTGAGGTCAAGAAGTCAAACAAGGTCGAAAGGATCGGCACAACGTTTGTCTGATGAGGCATCCTCTGAAAACAAACTGAAAAAACAGTATAAGTGGATTTTCCTTTTAGAAAAGAATACAAAAATGAACAAGAAATCAGCAATGACGTATTCTAGACAAGAGAAGGTTGTCACTCAACCGCAATCCGCTAAAATCTCAGTAACAACGACAACAAGCACACAAGAGATACCATTTCGGCGGAGATTGCCTAAAGCTGCTAAACGCGTACAGGTTGACACTATGAGTGAAAACTGAAGAACTCGTAGTTTGACATTAAAAAAGTTTGCTTTAGGTTAAGGTATTTGTTGAAGAAACCCTGAAAAAGGGAGTTAGAGGACTAGTGGCAGAATTTAAATCAATGAAACGTGTGAATGATTTCACAAAAATGACGGAATTTCTAGCACAAACTCCCCAAGGTCGAAACAGATATAAGGTAGCTTCGTAAAGATACGACAATGTGTGCATATGCCTAGCTTCCATGTCTACAGGATGTTGGATGCTTGGATAACGATAGAGTCGTACTCAGAATTGGACCAGTTTCTTACATACATGCTAATTATGTATCAACACCAATGAGTTCAAAAAGGTTCATCTGTACCCAGGTGGGATTTTTGTTCGTTTAGTCTGTTCCTCATCGTTTTGAGCGCTAAAAATGCACTAGAGACGTTACATGGTTCATGCAAAACATTGCGATCATCTGTATCACCCATCGTCCGCTTGATCGCATACTGCTCGAGAGGGCGTCGGTAGCTTTCCATTTGTGCCTGTCACGTGCCATGGTTGGCCAGTAAATCTTATGCGTATTTTGAGGAGAGAAAGAACACGAGGAAAGTTCCTTCGCTCAAAAAACCTAGTGAAGAAGTCTAACAATCGAATTGGCAGTCTTCCTGTTCTTTTGATGCTAAGTGAAATGCTAACGGCTCTTCCATAGGTTAGCATCGCTTACATCACGTTCAACCAGCCAAGTTTCAATCTTTACTGGAGTGAAAGCGATAGAA